ATGACAGGTTGTTTTAGTCTAAAAATATGTTCTCCCGTTTGTAAGGATGAATAATGAGTATCCTGTATCAAAACTTGAAAACTTTAAATAAATGTGTGTTCGCTATTTTGTCTTTCAACTACTTTGCGCTTGTATCGTCTACGCACTCACGCAAGAAAACTTTTCGGAACAATTCGCTTTTATTATGGCATTTAACGCCTTTCGGTACAATGCGCGTCGGTATAATGGGTTTCGGTATAATGTGCGGACCCCGGGAAGTTGATGCACATGATTTTGAAAAATTACAGAAGATTCCATCGTAAGATGGTAAAAGCTTATGGTCCTGTACATGGAAAACCGGAACGTATTTCGCAATTTTCTCAGAAAAGAAAAAAACTGTCGGATACGGTAAAATTGGCATGGTAGGTTGGCAAGAGTATTGTAAACACATCATATCCATTCATATTTTTGTATTTGTAAACCGCAACAAAATTAATTCCAATAGAGTAAAGTAAAACTTGAGTAATGCAAACACCTCTGTGATCGCCAAAAGTGTTCAGATTAGCAGCTGTTCACATTTCAAGGTTTTCTTAACAGTGTGATTCAATGTGAGGTACAAATTAGAGATGTGTTCTGATATTCTTATTTGGCCTTTTTTCTAAAATATAAATTTAGAGGTGCTCAATTTTAAGTTTTGCCTTTTTGAAAGACAAGTTTTTTAAAATTAAGTGTATAGCTACTACCACTAAATCTATGGTTAGCCTTAAACAAGATTCATGTGTTAAACATTAACATTTGCAATTAAATATAACAGCTGTTTACGTAACATTAATATTTATTTCAACTTCTGAAATGATCCAACTAAAATATAGTATGTTATATACATGTTATGCTTACATGTTACATTCTATAACAATGCTTTTAGAAATCCTGAGTACTGTGAAGCACCAATTTACTGTAGATCGACCAGCTTTATTACACACGTGGTACATATTTACAAGCAACATATTAATTAGCAGTCACATACATTTTAAGTTATTTATAATCACCGGCTCCAATGGCTATTTCAAACCCCTAATTTTGATGGAATGAAATCCTTTTAAAGCTTCAATAAATTACACACTCTATCCCTTCTAAGTCTGACTTCACAATTATTATTGTATTGCTACATATGAATATATCGAATTTCAATACAATACAACATGTGGGTTGCATAAAAGATGGCTATAAAATTAATATTTATATAATCAAACTAAACCAGGCCATGCAACACAAAATATTGAATGAAAAAACAAGACTAAGAGCACGCTAATTAAATAAACAAGGGCCAGTAATACAAGATGTAGGTTGCTTAAAAGATAATGTCCAAGAAGTAATGGGATACATACATTAAAAACACTTACTTAATCATTTAAAATATTGCATAAAATATTGCATCTTGGCTACAATACAATTAAACATACATAATTATAACAATTATTGTTTTTGTTCATGTAGACTTTGATTAAATATATATATATATAAATATGAACATACAATGTTTATACATGTACATGAATTTCAAAACCCGTTTCTGATCTTTTATTCTGACATCTAATTGTTCAATGCTTGGAATAATGTCCATAATAGAATGTCAACATTCCGAAATGTAAAAACAAGACTAAAGTATAGTAGTATTACATATGCATGTACATTATACAAGTCTATAATTTGAGAAAAAAGCAAGTTTCAACCCCATAGCCAGGGGGAGGGTTTAGCCCGTGGCCAAAAACTCTTTCAACATTTTCACATTTTCAAATGATTTTGGGTCAAAATTGTCAAGTTTTAACCCTCCCTAAGAATTTTTTAAAACTAAACCCCCACCCTTGGCAAAAACTTGCTACTGGCTGAAGCATTCTTCCTTTATTCTTAATTCAAATGCTGGCACGCTTTCCTATAATTATAGTTTTATTGTAACTAGATATCAAGACTGACGTGGTATCCTAGTTAACTCATTCTTCACTTGGTACTAATACCATGGTGAAAATGCTTGATTTCACAGGTCCTCACATGAAGCATCAATACATTGATACATGTACATGGTTGATTTCACAGGTCCTCACATGAAGCATCAATACATTGATACATGTACATGGTTGATTTTACATGTCCTCACATGAAGCATCAATACATTGATACATGTACATGGTTGATTTCACATGTCCTCACATGAAGCATCAATACATTGATACATGTACATGGTTGATTTCACAAGTCCTCATATGAAGCATCAATACATTGATACATGTACATGGTTGATTTTACATGTCCTCACATGAAGCATCAATACATTGATACATGTACATGGTTGATTTCACATGTCCTCACATGAAGCATCAATACATTGATACATGTACATGGTTGATTTCACAGGTCCACACATGAAGTATCAATACATTGATACATGTACATGGTTGATTTCACAAGTCCTCACATGAAGCATTAATACATTGATACATGTACATGGTTGATTTCACATGTCCTCATATGAGGCATCAATACATAGATACATGTACATGGTTGATTTCACAGGTCCACCCATGAAGCATCAATACATTGATACATGTACATGGTTGATTTCACAAGTCCTCATATGAAGCATCAATACATTGATACATGTACATGGTTGATTTCACATGTCCTCATATGAGGCATCAATACATAGATACATGTACATGGTTGATTTCACATGTCCTCATATGAGGCATCAATACATAGATACATGTACATGGTTGATTTCACATGTCCTCATATGAGGCATCAATACATAGATACATGTACATGGTTGATTTCACAGGTCCACCCATGAAGCATCAATACATTGATACATGTACATGGTTGATTTCACAAGTCCTCATATGAAGCATCAATACATTGATACATGTACATGGTTGATTTCACAAGTCCACACATGAAGCATCAATACATTGATACATGTACATGGTTGATTTCACAAGTCCACACATGAGGCATCAATACATTGATACATGTACATGGTTGATTTCACAAATCCTCACATGAAGCATCAATACATTGATACATGTACATGGTTGATTTCACAAATCCTCACATGAGGCATCAATACATTGATACATGTACATGGTTGATTTCACAAGTCCACACATGAGGCATCAATACATTGATACATGTACATGGTTGATTTCACAAGTCCTCATATGAAGCATCAATACATTGATTCATGTACATGGTTGATTTCACAGGTCCTTATATGAAGCATCAATACATTGATACATGTACATGGTTGATTTCACAGGTCCTTATATGAAGCATCAATACATTGATACATGTACATGGCTGATTTCACAGGTCCACATATGAAGCATCAATACATTGATACATGTACATGGTTGATTTCACAAGTCCTCACATGAAGCATTAATACATTGATACATGTACATGGTTGATTTCACAAGTCCTCACATGAAGCATCAATACATTGATACATGGACATGGTTGATTTCACATGTCCTCATATGAAGCATCAATACATTGATACATGTACATGGTTGATTTCACAGGTCCTCACATGAAGCATCAATACATTGATACATGTACATGGTTGATTTCACAGGTCCACACATGAAGTATCAATACATTGATACATGTACATGGTTGATTTCACAAGTCCTCACATGAAGCATTAATACATTGATACATGTACATGGTTGATTTCACATGTCCTCATATGAGGCATCAATACATAGATACATGTACATGGTTGATTTCACAGGTCCACCCATGAAGCATCAATACATTGATACATGTACATGGTTGATTTCACAAGTCCTCATATGAAGCATCAATACATTGATACATGTACATGGTTGATTTCACATGTCCTCATATGAGGCATCAATACATAGATACATGTACATGGTTGATTTCACATGTCCTCATATGAGGCATCAATACATAGATACATGTACATGGTTGATTTCACATGTCCTCATATGAGGCATCAATACATAGATACATGTACATGGTTGATTTCACAGGTCCACCCATGAAGCATCAATACATTGATACATGTACATGGTTGATTTCACAAGTCCTCATATGAAGCATCAATACATTGATACATGTACATGGTTGATTTCACAAGTCCACACATGAAGCATCAATACATTGATACATGTACATGGTTGATTTCACAAGTCCACACATGAGGCATCAATACATTGATACATGTACATGGTTGATTTCACAAATCCTCACATGAAGCATCAATACATTGATACATGTACATGGTTGATTTCACAAATCCTCACATGAGGCATCAATACATTGATACATGTACATGGTTGATTTCACAAGTCCACACATGAGGCATCAATACATTGATACATGTACATGGTTGATTTCACAAGTCCTCATATGAAGCATCAATACATTGATTCATGTACATGGTTGATTTCACAGGTCCTTATATGAAGCATCAATACATTGATACATGTACATGGTTGATTTCACAGGTCCTTATATGAAGCATCAATACATTGATACATGTACATGGCTGATTTCACAGGTCCACATATGAAGCATCAATACATTGATACATGTACATGGTTGATTTCACAAGTCCTCACATGAAGCATTAATACATTGATACATGTACATGGTTGATTTCACAAGTCCTCACATGAAGCATCAATACATTGATACATGGACATGGTTGATTTCACATGTCCTCATATGAAGCATCAATACATTGATACATGTACATGGTTGATTTCACAGGTCCTCATATGAAGCATCAATACATTGATACATGTACATGGTTGATTTCACAGGTCCTTATATGAAGCATCAATACATTGATACATGTACATGGCTGATTTCACAGGTCCACATATGAAGCATCAATACATTGATACATGTACATGGTTGATTTCACAAGTCCTCACATGAAGCATTAATACATTGATACATGTACATGGTTGATTTCACAAGTCCTCACATGAAGCAACAATACATTGATACATGTAGATGGTTGATTTCACAGGTCAGGGAATACATATTCATCAGGAATGTTGGCTTCTAGGATGTTCTCAACTAGATTCTGAGGAACACAATCATTCACAAACCCCTGAAGGAGTTTATATAAAGATGATTCCTTGTTTTTCGGTTTGCAAATGTCTAAGTGGTTTACATCTATCGCATGGTATTCACCAAACCCAGGATCTGGAAAAGTGTTGAAACAAGTCATTCCACTTCCATAAAAATCATAGATGTGTTCCTCAACAAAGAATATTATTCAAACAAAAACAAAACCTTGGATAGCAGAAAGTTAATTTTTATGCTCTCTCATTCATTTTAATTTAAAACTGTGTTTTAAGATTTGAGACTAGCCAATATAATAAATGTCTTCAGGTCTTAGAAATAAACTGTTTCTGATCAATATGATTATGGCAGTTAAAATGACATACCGCTTGATTCCTTTGGCACAATTAGAGTTTTCACATTCATGCCTATATCCATGCTCTGTTTCTCGCCAAAACTGAGAAGAGGCACTCCTAAGTCAAACATCATTTCTTTAAAGTCACGATGAAGTCGCTGTAGCATTTCAGAATCTGTAAAATATAGTCAAATATTATAAAAAGTATTTTCAGATAAATTGAATAAGAGAGAATCAGATACAATAACAATTAGTAATATGTTTTATTATGAAAAGATAATTTAATTTTGGAATGGTATTATATAAGACATACCATACATCATCTTTACACCCACAACATGACAAACTCTCACTTAAATGTTCACTTTTGTTTAATAAATCCCAGCATGGAATTAAGGGGTCATAGATTAAATATTCAGATTTCTCCTTATTACAACAAAGGTGAGCCAAATGTCATCATTTTGTAAAACTTAAGATACATATGATTGCAAATAATATGAAGCATTTTCAAAGAGGGATAATAAAATGGAACCATTAGCTTACATGGTTGCACAGACAGAAGGACAGAGATGGATGATGGACAGTCGGACAAATGGGTGATTTCATAGGCTAACCGTCTAAGCCAACATGGAAAAAAAATTATCTTCTAAATATACTGACCTTGACAAAGTTCCTGGACCTCGACAGAGGGATTGAGAATCAGCTTTGCCTGCTGAGAGTAGGCAGCCAGTGGAGCTCCTTTGTGAGGTGCACTATATAGTGCAATACCACGTGTATTGGTCGCTACCTTCCTCAGATCAGTATATGGCGATTTGTATGCAGAGGTTAGCATCTGTTTGATCAGTAAACCTGGAAAATAAAAAATAGCCTACTTACAAGACTTTCTGTTTTTACCTTATAAAAACATTCAATCTTGTACAGCTCCGAGAAATACTTTCAAATGAGCTAATGTAAAACTGTAAAAATGTAAGCAAATTTCTTCTTTCACAAATTACCAAAAATGTTACATAACTTATCCTAAGGCCTGTTTTGTTCATACCTCCCATAGAATGTCCAACCCAGATGATCGGTCTATTCCCCAGACCTGTCTTATAGAGTTTCTCTAACATCTCAGCTGCTCTAACAGATAGACTTCTCCTCTCAGCCTCATAGGGACATTTAGGGGCCCACTCACTAAGGTATGTTGTGTAGTCTACAGCTACAACACGGATATTAGGGCAGTCCTTTGCTAACCAGTCCTGGAAAATTTTTATCAAAAAAATTAAAACCAAAAAATTCAAATCTGGAGAACACTACACATGGTACGATATATGTTGTTGTTTTAATTCAAAACATGATAAAGGTACATTTTACAAAACAGTACAGCTATATATAAGAGATGAGGCAGAAAGAGACTTCATCTACCTTTGGCCAACAATGAGTGTAAGGATCATCAGACTCTGTGTCACTCTCTGTCTGCATCAGGTTTGGGGAGGCTGTGTCTTGTTGACGCCACGTCTTAAATGCACCACCGAGCAAACCATGAACGAATACTATATCTGCATAAACAGGCTCACTGAAAGAGAAACAAATGACAATAAAATCACAAAATAAAACAACTATAGCATTTATGATATTGTGTTGTTTTGATTGAGGTGTATGTCATTTTAGTGGAAAATGAATTTTTTATCTCAGTGTATATCATACATGAGCAAACTTGAAGAATTATTCAATGAGCTTGAACATGACAGTGTTCTCATTTTTATTGGGCTACACTGTAGAAACACATAGAAATGATAAAATTTGTTCAATTCCATCAATGCATTGATACAGATTTAGCTGTATGATAGATGTTCCAGTTTACCTTGATCTGAACTGAGGGTGGTACAGATAAACACCAGGCTGATATTTCTTTGTCCCGAAATCTGTGTCAAGATTTGCTAGGGCCCTTGCAGCATGACTAGCTAGTGCAAAGTCATTTGACCTGAGCCACCTTAAATACATAAGTATGATATGTTAGTACAGAATATTTAGGGCCCTTGCAGCATAACTAGCAAGTGCAAAGTCATTTGACCTAAGCCACCTTAAATACATAAGTATGATATGTTAATACAGAATATTTAGGGCCCTTGCAGCATGACTAGCTAGCGTGCAAAGTCATTTGACCTGAGCCACCTTAAATATATAAGTATGATATGTTAATACAGAATATTTAGGGCCCTTGCAGCATGACTAGCTAGTGCAAAGTCATTTGACCTGAGCCACCTTAAATACATAAGTATAATATGTTAATACAGAATATTCATAGCTGCTAGCATAAGAAGAATTTGACCTCATCATCTTTGTTCTGGGAATACAAAGGGTTCACGTCCATTAATTTATTTTTTTCAAGTCTTGACGTCCTAAACTTTCAAATATAAATTTTAAAGTAAATCTGTATAATATAGCGATATAGATGTCAATCAAAGATTTGTCCACTGTGGAAACCAACCTATTGGGGACCTTTACTTCCCCAGGTTTACTACATGCACTAACACATCTTTAATTTTTTTTTTTTAATTTTAATTTCTTTTAAATTAAAATGCTAATTATATAAATGTTATGCATGTATTAAATACAAAAACAAAGAAATAGATAAACTAATGTTTGTGTTTCGTACCCTGCAAGGATGGTAACCCATCCAGCTTGAACGATATTCTCAGCCAGATTTGGACAAACTGCGATGTTACCAATTATTCTTGCGACTATTCTCTGTATCTTGAGACTGCGAGACCTCTCATATGAAGCCCTCAACAACATTTGGAGACCTCCATGCTCAACAATCTGCTCACAATGGGACAAAATCTGCAAGCATTGATCAAATATGGGGGGGTGTATAGAGATATTGTATATCGTATAAGAGGCTGAAATATAATATGCATTTCCAAGACCCTCTATACACCCCCCCCCCCCCAAATATAAGTGTACAGTATACTGGGGAAATAATACATAATACAATTCATTACTGGAAATTAAAGATTTTAAGAAATTGTTTAAATGGAATGTGTAGTGAAGTAAAACTTCTCATCTTGAACACCTCTCTGACCTAAACATCTATTGGTAGTCCCATTTCAATTCCTCTTATCAATTCAAATGAAAGGCTCGCCAATCAAAGATAAACAAACTGAAACTACTGGGTACTAAAGGTTTCACCAAATAGTAAATCATTCAAGTTCCTCATTTGTAATATAAAGAAAGTATTTTCATTTAAATTGTCAGTTATGTTCCCTTCACTTTGAACTAACTAAAGTTTCATTAGTAATTTTTAAGATGCTTAATTGTCAGAAAAATTCAATGTTGCAGTAACCCTGATGTTATATTTGAAACACTGATGTCCCAGAAGAACAATTAAAATGAGAGGAGTCACCTTGGAATGACTAGAGAGAGCTTGTAGGCAGAACTGCTCCACCTTTTCATCTGGGGCAGAGCTGAGACTCTGGGTGAAAGCGAGACCATTGCCTCCAAAGCACCACAGTCCTCCCTGAAACACATGCCAAGAATGTATGTACTATTACACAGGTTTCTCCTCTTATAATTTAAGCCAGAAATATAGTATCACATGGTCTCTCTTTTATCAATCAATATATGCACTTTATTCAAATCAAATAAACACAAGGTCTTAACATGAAAAATGTCATCACCTGCCATTTGTTGCAGATGCCACACCATCCGCCATCACAAAAAAATTAAAGAGTATACCCAATATGCCACAACTTGTGGCGGTGACATATAGAAAAACAAAAAACACATGTTTGTTCACATCCAGTCAGTCAAAATTGAATGCAGCAAAGACTGAATATGTGAAGACGACAGAACTAACTAATATGCTTGTGCATGGATTTAAAATTGTTAAAGATTGATCACCTTATCATCTGCATCAGCATGTTTTCCCTCCTGTAGGGCAGTTGAAGTGAAATATGAAGTGCATTTGTCAATACCCTCATTGGGGAGGGCAGAGAGAAGTTTTCGGAACTGATCCTCCAAGGATTCCTATAAATTGCAGAAAGATAAAAATAATGGCAAGTGCATTCGAAACCTTAGATGAATAGGATAAACTGCATCAATAAATTTTAGAATAGTTAAATTTGACGGAAGCAGTCATTTATTTAGTTTATTCATTTTCTTCAAATTAGTAATTGTAACTAAGAGGGTATTTGATCTTTTCAGAATGAAAATGGCACTTGCACTGAGCCCATTTTACAACAAAATATTTATTCTTTCTATTTCAGTACCAATTGTTTATTTCATAACAGATGATTGTATGTTTAACTGATTCAATGCGATATAAACGACATAATTATAACACTTACTTCAACATAGGGCAACTTTGGCGGAGGCAGGAAGAATCGAAGATCAGTCTCAGGTGATCTGGCTAGACCGATCAGAGTTCTTGCATCACAAGCTTGGGCAATCTCCAAATAATCAGAATCTAAAAATCACAAAATTATCTGAGAATGCAAAATTAATCAAAATTACATATTAAATTCCTGAGCAAATTCTAAAAAACAAGATCACTGCAAAGAACTCCAATTTATATGGAAAGGCATCATAATATCATTTTTTGTCAAATACCTTCCAAAAGTGGATTCTGTACTCACCACACCAGTCTGTTTGCTTAGAGAGTGCTTCTACACCCATGAGTCGGACATTGTGATCGTTGGATTGAGCCAAGCGAAGTAATGTCCATCTGTTGTGACTGTGGGACTGCACCCAGGGGAACCACACTGGAAAAATCACAAATTATTAGGTTTGTAGAACAGAACCATGCTGAAGAAAACACAAACAGAACAATACTTGAGAGCAGACAAAAGAACCACACTGGAGAAACCAAAAAAGAACAATACTGAAAAAAAACTGAACCATAGTCTACAAAATATATGCATCTGACAAACTGGAGGAATCACAAATATACCAGGTAATTTTGTATAACAAAATGATAATGGAAAAACACAAAAGCACCACACTGGAGAAAACACATGCAGACCCATACTGGAGAAATGACAAACATAAGTATGTACAACTGAAGGATACTGAAGAAAACAAACTGTGATACAGCATTGTGTTATGGTGCATACCTCGTTTTTTCTTGACATCTTGACAGGTGCAGTCATCAATTCCAAGACTCAGTGACTTCTTACAATCTACAAAGTAAAATAAGAATGATGAACCTGTTCTAAAACACACTAGTCCTGCAAAGTAATATAAGTATCTAAAATAAACACTAGTTCCACAAAGTAATGCACTTGTAATCTTATAGCAGTTGACAGAAAGAATTGATTTTCTAAAACTTACCTTCTGAGCATTTTGAGTTGTTGGCGTAAATATACAATGCCCTTGCATTTTCACGCTCAGCCTCAAAGACATCATCTGTTGTCTGGAGATTATCAAATAGACTGTTCAACTGCTTTTGAAATAGGGCTCCACTGTGATATAAACAAAAACCTAGATATGAAGGCAATTACAAAATGAGCTCAATTCAATTCATTGTCCAAAAACATATTCGTCAGCATAAATCTGTAACTGATTTAGAATTTACTTGAACTTAAGGCATAATCAGAGCTTTAGGGGTAACGAACTTGCAAGCGACATGTACAATTGATCTACCAATGTATTCTCTACCATCTAAAAAATAACATCTCCCCAAAAGATCTGCAGAAAGTTATCAATGTGTGAAGTTATTAAAGATTTAAAGTGCTCAATTGCCATACATGTGAAGTTATGTGCCTTTTAATATTAAATAACGCGGTATACCTAGTATAGTGAAATGAAAATTTTAGAGAAAATTTTTTAATTAGTTTTCCTCAAACAAAGTATTATGGTAATTCTTTAGAAAATAAAATTGTTGGGAATGATATGAGACAAAATACCATAAAATTAAGACAAAAATCTAGTTTCATTTTTTCTTTGGTATCCAATTTTATCCAAAGTTTTACTTTAGCAGTATTCAACACTATTGGCATAAGTATAAACTATTTTTGTGTGACACAAATTTTGACAATAGTACATGATTGTCAGATAAGTAGAGAAAATATTATTACCTTATTATGACGGATGAAACTCCAAGCAGCACTACTTTACCTAGAAGCAATCAAGCCAACTGTGCATATTTTAAACACAAATATTTTAAAGTTCAGTGTGACATCAACTTAAACATATTAACATGGTCTAATTGTATTGTATTATATTCTTTATTTACCTCTTATAAAAGAGAGTAACAATTGTACATTAATTGGGAGTTAATACATAAATAAGAAAATAGATAAATTATTTACTCATGTTTATGAAATGAGCGAAGTTGTGAGCGTTGCTTGTCTCTTGATATACATTGAACGAATTATTAAGACAGCTTGCAATGCAAGATCGTTGTTTGTACAATTTAAGATCAGATTGATGCAATCTTTAAAGCTACTTGTATCGTTATATTCATAGATTTAAGTGCTAACCTTTCTTCAACATACAACATACAATGACAAAGAAAATGTTCGATTGATTCAATTTCATTTAAGTTGCAGACATTGCACAATCGACCATTTTCTTTTGAGATATCCCACTTTTTGTGACTGTTTAGACCTAATTGACCAGTCTTTAACTTCACAACAGTTGTAAATTGTTTTTTCAATCGTGGCATCCTTTGACAGAGAACATACCAGCTATTTGGAATTAGACATGAGTGACCATTGATAAAAAAAGATAAACCTTCGTATAACATGCATCTTATTCGAAACATTGATTCTTGTAGGTCTCGAATTCTACATTTTACTAGACGTTTCCAACTACTTTTGGAGATCATTTGTTCATCTAACATTAGTTTTACAATTTCCTAAAGATCGTATTTCCTGGCCGTGCACCACATGTGTGCGATGGGGGATGTCATTTTAATCTAATGCTAGTAGTATTTCAAACAATACATACATGTGTATATTTAGTACTATATATAACAAGAAAAAGTTTTGCAGTCAATATAATGAAGTTTATTAAAGTAAATATCCTAAAAGTTAAATGTTGAATGCTTTAAATGCAAATGTGCCAATATGGGAAGAATTATAAGAAAAAGTATTTGATCCACGAGGATTTTATGTATACAATTAAAAATACAACTCAATAAGTAAAACAAATAAGTGTCTGAATGCCACTGGGATCAGCCAAAACTGTTCAGATTGGCAGGTGTACACTTTAAAGTTTTTTTTAACATGGAAATATATGGAAAATTAAATAAAAAATGGCAAAAACATACACATTGAGGGGTCTTTAGATTACAGAGGAGTTCATGCATACAGGTTTTACTGCACAGCTGTATATTAAAACTGAAATTACAAATCAATAATTGAAACACTCTTCAGATGTATACATGTAACGAATAAAAAAATGTACCTCTTCTTTTGAGTCTGAACCTTTTTGCTTTTATCCTTGTACACAGCCCTCTAAACAGACCTGCACCATTCATTCCAACATTCTCTGAATAAGATAATAAGAATTGTATAACATGTAAACCTTTTCACCCTTCAGCCCATGGGCTACAGTCAGAGTAATTATTACACTGGCAGATCTAGGGGAGGGCCAAAAAAATTAACGGCCCCAATTAGTGGGCCTTCTTGGGGATTACTAGGCCTTTAAGGTACAGCTTGAAAATAACATTTTGGGAAAAAATTGCTATATCTGCACATGTTATTTTCTGGAACAAAATAAAGTATGAAGGCATTTGTTAATTTCCTTGCTTTTTCAGGAAAGTATCATTACATTGTCTTCTTTTAGTTAATCTGGTAAGAGGTCAATGGGAACTCAAGGAAATTCTGATATTTCACACTTTTGTATTTTTCCAAATTATCTTTTAAAGTCTCAAGACAACACAGGAGCTACCATTGACCTGTTTCCAAGTTATCTAAAAGTAGACAATGTTATGATACTTTCCTGAAAAAAGCAAGGAAATACACACATGGCTTCATACTTAAAGGGGCAATATTTGGCTTAACATCTACTTTGACATACCTATTTTCTTAAAATGTATGGATAAACTATCAATTTCAGCATTAAGAAGAGTGAATTCAGCTCAAAGCTTCTATAAAGGGAGTCCCACTTATAGCTTTTAAGATCCATCATGTTTCAAGAGGAGTATCAGCTGAACTAATGTTCATCCAGGGGGTTACTTTGTAGACAATGAAAATATATGTTAGTCTTGATGAAATATCCAAACTTAAAATATATTTTGACACTGGTCGATGATCGTTGAATGGCCCCCTTGCACCAATTTTGAACCAGAAAATAACATGTACAGGTATAGCAAAATGTTATTTTCCAGCTGTACCTTAAAGCCTTATTTTAAGCCAAATTGTCAAGAAAATAGGCCTAAACTTCAAAATTTTACATACTTGCATAAATGCGCTTTGGTGATAATAAACAATATTTCAATGTGTGGGACGCCTAAAGCATTTCAAGTAGGCATGGTTGATGGTTCCCCAGCATGATTCACCCACAGGTGCTCCCTGGGTAATAAGAGTGTGGGGCTTTCCCTTCCGGGTTTGTGTAAAAAACCGGGTAGCCGGATGGCCGGGTAACCGGGTACTTAACGTTCCTTGCAGGGTTACCAACTTTCAAAGTTGCACATTTGTAGACTACCCTTCAATGTTTTTACGTTATCATTTTACCAAGAACCTGCGAGAGACTGAATTTCGGAAGTCCTAGGTAGTTATTTACACAGTTTACACGTACCATGACGTTAGTTGCTTGATCTATTGTCTGAGTGATTGACAGGATATCGATGATTGTTTTCTATGATGGCGATTTCTACTAGATATTAAACAAATCTGGAAGATTTACGTACGCATAAATTGAAACGTTATTTGCCGTTTTTATCTCTTAATTAGTGTACGATGTACAATACAACATTAGTTGCTTAATTTATTGCCTCACTGATTGACATTATATTAATTTTGTTTGTCGTTTTGCCGGTTGATAAATTTTGGTAAATAAATTTTGTTGCTTGTTTGGTTGTTTGCTTGATTGGTTGTGTCACTGGGCGTTTTGAGGCAAAAATGAAAAAATCAAATTCCTCCTAACCCTGGTAGGAAGGTAGAGTACCCGGTCACCCGGCTAACCAGTTACCCAGTTTTTTTAAACCCTTCCCCTCCTGCATCACCTAGAATCTATGTGTTGCAGGGAAGCCCCATACTCTTATTACTGTGGGTGCACCTTATTGGGGCACCTTTATACAAGAACACAAACGTGTACAATATGTCCCCACCAATGGGTGATCCTGTCAAATGGATATCCTGATAATGAGTAGTCAAGACTTTATCGTTACAATTTGGGACGGAAAATGCAAAATGGCCACCTTAAAATTTACCCAGAATGCCAGAAAATTAGTCAGCTCTAGATTTTCATACTACGAACCAACCCTGAAAATTTGAAATTGATCCGTCAACAGTAAACAAAAAAATGCGTAAACAAGACTCTACAGACAAGATTTTAGGACGGAAAAATCCAAAATGGCTGTCTTGACATTTGCCCAGAATGCCAAAAAACTAATCAGTTCTAGATTTTCATTCTAAGAATCATCCCTGAAAATTTGAAATTGATCTACCAAACGGTTCACCTGAAAACGCGTAGACAAGACTTTACAGACAAGATTTTAGGACAGAAAATCCAAAATGGCTGCCTTGACATTTATCCAGAATGCAAAAAAACTAATCAGTTCTAGATTTTGATACAAGGAATCATCCCTGAAAATTAGAAATTGATCTACCAAACAGTTCACCTGAAAACACATAGACAAGACTTTACAGGCAAGATTTTAGGACGGAAAATCCAATATGGCTGCCTTGACATTTACCCAGAATGCCAAGAAACTAATCAGATCTAGATTGTCATACTAAGAATCATCCCTAAAAATTTGAAATTGATCCACCAAATGGTTTACCTGAAAACGCGTAGACAAGACTTTACAGACAAGATTTTAGGACGGAAAAATCCAAAATGGCTGCCTTGACATTTACCCAGAATGCCCAAAAACTAATCAGATCTAGATTTTCATACTAAAAATCATCCCTGAAAATTAGAAATTGATCTACCAAACGGTTCACCTGGAAATGCGTAGACAAGACTTTACAGACAAGATTTTAGGACAGAAAAATCCAAAATGGCCGACAATAAAAAAGTGATGATGAGTTTTTGCTGATTTCTTCTTACAAAATTATCACATATAACTACTGTTAACAATAACATAGGCTATTACAACAAAGTACACCTGAAATTATTTATAAAGCTACTAAATAGTTAAAGTATGAAAACTGAAAAACACCATTCAATATGATACAAAGTATTATCGCGCGCTAACTTTTCTTAAAACATTCAAAATGGCTGACATGACTGAGCTAACAGGTCCAAAACCTAATCAGATGTAGAATGAAGTGAGCTGAACAAGATATTAAAGTTTTAAAAGCAACTGTGAAGCCGTTTTTCTTAAAGTTTGCAGACAAGGATTTTAGCATTTGACTTCAAAATGGCCGACAGGAAGTAGGTATCGAGTTAAATTTTTTTCATCCACATCTGTATGCACTCATAAGTTATCCCTGAAAATTTGAAGGTGATATCTGTAGCTGTTTTGGAGAAAACTGCCGGACGTACGGACAGACGGACAGACAGACGGACAGACAGACGGACAGACAGACGGACGGACGGACGCGCCTAGGCCGACAATATGGCCCCACACTATGTGGTGGGGACATAATAATCAGGCCTGCCAACTTAAATGCGTGACATTACGGTATCCGTGTGAAAAGTCTGCACGAAATGCTTTCTTTATTCTTTTTTTGTTGTATTGGGGATCACTTTTTTTTCAAGTTTTTCTACAAAAATGCTTAAGCTTGACAATAATCAGGATGCGTAAAAAAACTGGCGTGACTTCAAATTTTCCAGCAAATGCGTGACAAATACGCAAATTGTGGGACAGTTGGATGGCCTGTATGGTGGATGCTAACCAAACCCGTCTGGCCCAGTTATCTACTCCCGACGTCATAGATCTGGGCCAGACGGGTTTGGTTAGTATGTATCCAACAGACCGAATATAATATTTATTCAGACGAAGGATACAGTCTACGGGTTTGGTTAGGTGGATGCATGGGTGTACTACAATGTACATCCAACAGACTGAGTTAGAATGTACATAGAGTACTCAGTCGGAATGTTTCAACCAAATTTTAAAAAAATCAGACTAGAGAATATAGTCTAGGGTGTAAGTTAGGCCTACATGTATTTTAGCATACCTCAATAACTTCTGAACATCTTGACTATTGCAGTTTATAGAGTACAAAATTGACTTACATATTGTACGTTAACGAAGGTGTGATCACGCGATTACGTAAAATGATGATTTAATATACGTTTCTATGAAAATATTCAGGTTATTTCCCAAAATAATTTACTGTTTGAGATTTTAGATAAATTTATGGGCGCTGACATCTTGAATGAGAAGTTCAATAATGATACGTCGCCCAAAGAAAATAAAGACAATGGTGTGTTTATACACTCTCGTGTGGCAACAAGGTAGGATAAACATTTTATTTGTATTTTTTATGATTTTCTTATAAGTTGGGGCCCGGACTTATTCTATTTTCATAAAAATTGTTTGTTTTTATAATTTCAATGTGAGTCGGCATAAGTCCCACCATGAAGAAAATGTCTGAGGCGAAATTTATTTTCCTGGTTGTTTTTGCATGGAATTTAGCCTTTATTAGTGCGGTAGTTACAAGTGAAAACGATAAAAAGATCAATGAAATTATAAAGATCAGTAAAGCAGGTGACTTGAGAAAAGAATTAACTAGAATAAAGCGTCAAGCATCTACGCCGGGGGGCGCTAGATCTAACAGTGGAGAATTGGAAGTTCACATTCAAACTTTGGAAGACCCAAAACACAATGAAGCTATAGTACATTGGTCTGGAAGTAAAAGCAATGTAAGCAGTAATATTTTTCTTTTACACTAAAATTTACAACAAGTACCATTAGATTGATATGCAGGCAACACTAAAGTATACAAATCTATTGGCCCTGTAACGACCCTTGGGCACGTCCGTCCGTAACCAAACCCATCTGGCCCAGTTATCTACTCCCGACCTCGTAGATCTGGGCCAGACAATGTCCAATGCAAAAAATTGGGTATTTACTCCGGAAAAAACACACTGGTTTTTCAATGTATAATACGTGCTGATAAATGAATAAACATCATAAAAGTCACTTACGTGTTTGTTCCTTGTATCAAACTTTGTATTTATATTAGGTTTCCATCGCTGGATGACGGCTAATAAATAAGAACGAAACGATTAAACGCAGCAAAAAGAGAAATTCTTCTGCAATCTGTTTGTGATCTCGTAGAATATCGAGAAGTCTCGGCTGCATATTTCGTTCAGTACTACATTCGGTCAGTTCAACAAATTGAAAAATCATATTTAATGTCCACCATATTTCTTTCCAGTCTAAATACAACACAGATACGTCTGTTTTATAAAGTAATCTACGTTTTGATAAGAAATCTGCTGAACAAATCGTAATATTTGGAATGTATTGATTCCCGGGAAATGTACTTTCGTTCCATGAAAGTTTAAAAATTATCGCGTCACACTCGTGTTACGTCACATCACGTGACTTTATTCGGTGCGGAGAACTGACGAAATATTGACGAAATGTTGTGCCCATTTCAACATCAAAATAACAAACAAAGTTATGTACTCTTTATTTCAAATAAATACTTGGGTTTACATGTAGCCCGATGTTTTGGTTGGATGGCTAATAGGGAATGAATAATAAGTGATGATTCAGCGACATGTTTTTTCCTGAGTAAATCCCCCCTTTTTTGCATTGGACCTTGTCTGGCCCAGATCTACGATATCGAGAGTAGATAACTGGGCCAGACGGGTTTGGTTAGTCCGTCCGGGGAGCTGTAGTGCACTACTGATTCGGCCAAAGGGGCTAGTCACTACAACCATGACTGAAATACTGACTTGCTATTGAGGGTCATTACACCATCCTTCCTGAAAGAGGACGTCTCGTTGTAATTGATCCACAAGGGCAATCACACCTCAGTAATGACCTTCGGGCATGTCTATCTGGGGAGCTATAGTGTAACGAGCCAGATACTGGTCATGAAAGGGAGTGTACTCAATTCAATGGCCCGTTGGGAATCGAACCCAGGACCAATGATGACCGATTCTGCCAAAGGGGCAAGCCACTACAGCAGAGACTGTAGTAGCGACTTGCTATCGAGGGTCATTAATTACAGCCCCATAGGCCTGTCAAGAGCTTAGGTGGACTACGTGAAAATTTTTCTATTGCATTATGGTTCGATTCACTTCATCAAATAACCAATTATCACAAACAAGTGCATAAAATTTAAATTTTACACTGATTATCATTAAAAACCTGTTAAGGTAAACTCCCCCCATCTTCAATTTTGTCCAGACCTACCGCCATCTTGTTTTGACGATGCAGTAGATGCCAATTACCTCCAATTACATTTAAATTTCTAATGATTTGGGGATTTAGTCATACCAGAAGTTGAATCAATAATTTATATGATTGTTAGATAATCATAAATGTAGCTACAATCTACAAAAAGCTGTTCAGTTTGGTAAATCACTAACTGGAAGTTCAGGATTTCCATGACACAAATACAAAATGCTCAGATGACTTGCCCAACTATGTGCACTTTTATGACTGTCACAAGATGTGCTCTAAATGTCATCCATTCCGTTGTAGGGACACTTCTGGGTTCTATTGGCAAAGTTATTGACCACATTTGGCACATTCGCCTGACATAAACCTTCCAGATTATATAACCCGACCCCCAAACCATAGCACACCTGAAGATAGAGATCACCAGAAAGATCAGGGCCACTTCTGTGAGGAATGTGTTAGTGTTGTCAAATACTTTGCCTATAGAATCCAGGTGTGCCTGACGTTTAGAGCACATCTTATAAAGCTGATAAAAGTGCATCCAATTGAGCTAGTCATCTGAAACCTCTTGTGGAGTTTAGCTACCAGTGGTTTCAGTAATTTTGTGTACAAGAGGCAGATGAAAAATACAAGAGGCGGCATTCAAAATAACCAATTTTACGCTCCCGACAATGCACATTTTTGTTATTTTAGAGTCCATGGACCGAAAGAAAGATGTCCAAGATTTTACTTTTTGCAGGTTTGTCAAAGTCATTTCCACTTGTGATATTAACAATTGACTTGACCACAAGACATGAGCTCCACAAAATAACACCTGGAAGTGTGGAATGACTAGGGCAACTTATAAAGAATATCATTTACCTTTTATAAGATAACATACCCTTACACAGGTTGCATTTCACAAATCCAAATGCACCTGTTGAATTGAACACTTTTGATATAATCAAAATCTAAAATTGTCATTATTAAAATAAGAGTGATGCATTAATACAGTAGATGATTCACTTGTGATTATGTGTATATCAGATTCATTTTAGTTTTTTACCACCTCCAGACATTGCCAGAAATGGTGACATACAGGGTGTTCCAAAAGTAACAGGACTGGTGCTGGTATTTTGTTAAATATGCACCGGCAATTGTCTCCAAAATTCTACATAATGTACCTTCATGTATTGTAACTAAATTTGCAAAGTTTCGACAAAAATTATGTAATTCGGGTAAAGCAATGGTTGCTATGGTAACATGATATCACAATACCCGTGGCAACATTACACACGGAGAGTTACAGAGACTTTGTACATCCCATGTCAAAGTTGAAATGCAACAACTGGAGGGAATTAAATTTGCTTTACATCATTTGATATTGTAATGTATCTTCTACTTTGAAAATTGGGTCTTTTCATAAACTCAACTGTGAATTGTGCAGACTGTTATACAGAGTGATAATCCAGGAAATTGAATAAATATTATTTGATGGATCATACTTGAATCTGAGTTGTATAGCAATACCATTACAATGAAGCAACAAATAAAACAAACAAGAATTGTTGTATTGTAATAGGTGAATTAGATATACAAGATATACACTGTAAATTGCGTTTCAATCGTTTCAATCAGTTTGAGGATGAAGAAATAAATCTTTTCTTCATCCTAGATCAGTTCAACCGTTTCAATGCAAGCATCATTTCCTACGTTTCAATGCTAACGTCATTTTGAGCATTTCAAACGTTTTAATCGAAACGTCTTCGACAAAAATTAGGCCTTTCAGCCAATTTTCAAAAACATAGTGAGAACAAGTTTGGTGTAGAGGGGAGGGGGATATCTCCTGCTTCGGTCTCTCTCTCTTACAAACAGGTGAAGGTAAAGGGGTGTATACACTGGCAGGCGAAATGGAGGCGAAACGGCCGAATTGCTTCGAAAAGGAAATCGAAATTTTTCCGCTTGTGCCTGTTTCGCCGTTTCAAGCTTTTCAATCACATCCAATATTCATGAAGAAATGGGCAAAACGATTGAAAAAAAACGAATACGCACATTTTTCGTTTCAAATTACTGTTTCGCTACTTGCGATTTTAGTTTCGCCATTTCAAGCATTTCAATCAATTTGCCTGACTTACTTTTAAGTTTATAGATCATTTTCATTTCAACCATTTCAAGCAATTCGGCCGTTTCGCCTCCATTTCAACCATTTCGCCTGCCAGTGTATACACCCCTTTACCTTCACCTGTTTGTAAGAGAGAGAGACCGAGACGGGAGATATCCCCCTCCCCTCTACACCAAACTTGTTCTCACTATGTTTTTGAAAATTGGCTGAAAGGCCTCCTCACACATTCACTGGTGATCCACTCGATTACGCTGGTTACCAAAACGAATCGTTTTGGTAACAAAATGTCGGAACGTCGAAGGTACGATTTTTCTTTTTTCCTTATATCACGCGTTGTAGGCAGAATCCACACGACTTTTTTCTCACAAACGTATATCAGTATCATATGTTATAGAAAATGTACATGTTTGCGAAAAAATAGCTCAGAAGACAACATAATCGTCGATTTAATTCGTCACTTAAGTTACATAAACGGTTTGGGTTAAAAGTGCAGATCTAACCGTTTTTCGAAAAACCGTTTATGTAACTTAAGTGAGTAATTAAATCGACGATGCTGTTGTCTTCTGAACTATTTGTTCGCAAATATGTACATTTTCTTAAGCATATGATACTGATACACGTTTGTGTTAAAAACATCGTGGGAATTCTGCCTACAACGCATGATATAAGGAAAAAAGAAAAATCGTACCTTCGACGTTCCGACATTTTGTTACCAAAACGATTCGTTTTGGTAACCAGCGTAATCGAGTGGATCACCAGTGACATTATCAAGAGGAAAACATATCTACATGCGCATATAACCATTTGATAACATATTTTGGATCTTAATTTGTTAATGCGAATTTGCACCTTCATTTGCATGGAAGACTTTGATAAAATCCTTTTTTGATGATCTTTGTTAGAAAGCTGATGTTTGGCTAAGCTTCGAAATTCCAAATTGAATAGTCTACTAAGAATACCATGGTGTATATATTGTTTTCTTTATAATATGTCGAACTAGGACTGCTCAAACATATTCGTTTTTTGTAGCTACAGGTATTTAATTTCAGTAGATAATAAACTTCTCAAAATAAGAAATTACCCTCAGAAGACATTGTTGCAAGGTGTGTTGCAATGAATGTGACAGCCAGCATTCCTGGGCCCACATTATGTATTCTCGAAGAAAGCATATATTTGCATTGATGGTGTATAGATAGTTATTTTATGTAGTGTTTTTAGTTGTACGTGGAAACCTTTATTCTAACCAGGAAGGATATTGCAACTTTTTTCAAGATCCTAAAGTTGCAATTTTCGTTATTGTGTTTCATTGTAAAGACGCACCTGTGAAAGTGTGTCGCTAATACAAAGGCGTAGTTCTAAATAAATTTAAGATAGACATTTTTTTTAACTTGTACGTGAATGTGTAAAATTATGGACCTGATGGATTTTTTTTAAGTAGGGGGTTAAACCTCCCCCCCATCCACACATACACTTTTTATCATGCTTAAGTAACTTCACATTGTAATTACAAGGATGTTATTAATGAGACACTAGGATGATAAGGTAGGGGTAAAGCGGGGTTCACTGTTTGGTTCCGTTGACACCTGTGCGAAACTACATTCATAATTTATAAGACAGTCGCTTTGATAATGTTTCTTTATCTCGTCTGCAACTCGATAAAGAAGAATTATCAAAGCTCATCAAGAATGGACGATCTTGCAAAGGTACTCATATAAGAACCTCTATATCTTTTTAACACCAATATAAAGATTGAACCCTACATATACATATTGTACATTTTGTCAATCATGACAGATTTTATTCTCTTTGACTGATTAAAGAATTTACAATTGGTTTTTCTCATTTCCATATGTCTCAGATTACTAATTAAATATTTTCATACTGATTCACGTATTAAAAGTGTCTAGTACATGTATATGTATATTTTTTTTTAATTTAGAAAATAGATAATTTTAAGTAAAAAAATCATAAAAAATCAGTCAGACAAAAAAGTCATGCAACATTATGTGAGTGGCACTTTTTGTGTCACCCTGTATCGTGTATAATATGAATTATTATTTTTTTTTTCAGAACATTGTTCACACAAGTATGAATCTAGGTATTCTTCTATGTTTCCAGGCTATATTTGTACTAACCAGAGAGAATGGAGGGGATAGAATAAGAGATAGCACACTCTGGAGGTATGTCAATTCTATTGCACACTTTAATAAGAGATAGCACACTCTGGAGGTATGTCAATTCTATTGCACACTTTAATAAGAGATAGCACACTCTGGAGGTATATCAATTATATTGCACACTTTAATAAGAGATAGCACACTCTGGAGGTATGTCAATTCTATTGCATACTTTAATAAGAGATAGCACACTCTGGAGGTATGTCAATTTTAATGCACACTTTAATAAGAGATAGCACACTCTGGAGGTATGTCAATTCTATTGCACACTTTAATAAGAGATAGCACACTCTGGAGGTATATCAATTATATTGCACACTTTAATAAGAGATAGCACACTCTGGAGGTATGTCAATTCTAATGCACACTTTAATAAGAGATAGCACACTCTGGAGGTATGTCAATTCTATTGCACACTTTAATAAGAGATAGCACACTCTGGGGGTTTATCAATTATATTGCACACTTTAATAAGAGATAGCACACTCTGGAGGTATGTCAATTCTAATGCACACTTTAATAAGAGATAGCACACTCTGGAGGTATTTCAATTCTAATGCACACTTTAATAAGAGATAGCACACTCTGGAGGTATGTCAATTCTATTGCTCACTTTAATAAGAGATAGCACACTCTGGAGGTATGTCAATTCTATTGCACACTTTAATAAGAGATAGCACACTCTGGAGGTATGTCAATTCTATTGCTCACTTTAATAAGAGATAGCACACTCTGGAGGTATGTCAATTCTATTGCACACTTTAATAAGAGATAGCACACTCTGGAGGTATGTCAATTCTATTGCACACTTTAATAAGAGATAGCACACTCTGGAGGTATGTCAATTCTAATGCACACTTTAATAAGAGATAGCACACTCTGGAGGTATGTCAATTCTAATGCATATTTTAATAAGAGATAGCACACTCTGGAGGTATGTCAATTCTAATGCACACTTTAATAAGAGATAGCACACTCTGGAGGTATGTCAATTCTAATGCACATTTTAATAAGAGATAGCACACTCTGGAGGTATGTCAATTCTAATGCACACTTTAATAAGAGATAGCACACTCTGGGGGTATGTCAATTCTATTGCACACTTTAATAAGAGATAGCACACTCTGGGGGTATGTCAATTCTATTGCACACTTTAATAAGAGATAGCACACTCTGGAGGTATATCAATTCTATTGCACACTTTAATAAGAGATAGCACACTCTGGAGGTATGTCAATTCTATTGCACACTTTAATAAGAGATAGCACACTCTGGAGGTATGTTAATTCTATTGCACACTTTAATAAGAGATAGCACACTCTGGAGGTATATCAATTATATTGCACACTTTAATAAGAGATAGCACACTCTGGAGGTATGTCAATTCTAATGCACACTTTAAAAAGAGATAGCACACTCTGGAGGTATGTCAATTCTAATGCACACTTTAAAAAGAGATAGCACACTATGGAGGTATGTCAATTCCATTGCACACTTTAATAAGAGATAGCACACTCTGGAGGTATGTCAATTCCATTGCACACTTTAATAAGAGATAGCACACTCTGGAGGTATGTCAATTCTAATGCACACTTTAATAAGACATAGCACACTCTGGAGGTATGTCAATTCTATTGCACACTTTAATAAGAGATAGCACACTATGGAGGTATGTCAATTCCATTGCACACTTTAATAAGAGATAGCACACTATGGAGGTATGTCAATTCTAATGCACACTTTAATAAGAGATAGCACACTCTGGAGGTATGTCAATTCTATTGCACACTTTAATAAGAGATAGCACACTCTGGAGGTATGTTAATTCTATTGCACACTTTAATAAGAGATAGCACACTATGGAGGTATGTCAATTCTAATGCACACTTTAATAAGAGATAGCACACTCTGGAGGTATGTCAATTCTATTGCACGCTTTAATAAGAGATAGCACACTATGGAGGTATGTCAATTCTATTGCACACTTTAATAAGAGATAGCACACTCTGGAGGTATGTCAATTCTAATGCACATTTTAATAAGAGATACCACACTCTGGAGGTATGTCAATTATAATGCACACTTTAATAAGAGATAGCACACTCTGGAGGTATGTCAATTCTATTGCACACTTTAATAAGAGATAGCACACTCTGGAGGTATGTTAATTCTATTGCACACTTTAATAAGAGATAGCACACTCTGGAGGTATGTCAATTCTATTGCATACTTTAATAAGAGATAGCACACTCTGGAGGTATGTCAATTCTAATGCACACTTTAATAGGAGATAGCACACTCTGGAGGTATTTCAATTCTATTGCACACTTTAATAAGAGATAGCACACTCTGGAGGTATGTCAATTCTATTGCATACTTTAATAAGAGATAGCACACTCTGGAGGTATGTCAATTCTATTGCATACTTTAATAAGAGATAGCACACTCTGGAGGTATGTCAATTCTATTGCATACTTTAATAAGAGATAGCACACTCTGGAGGTATGTCAATTCTAATGCACACTTTAATAAGAGATAGCACACTCTGGAGGTATGTCAATTCTATTGCACACTTTAATAAGAGATAGCACACTCTGGAGGTATGTCAATTCTATTGCACACTTTAATAAGAGATAGCACACTCTGGAGGTATGTCAATTCTATTGCACACTTTAATAAGAGATAGCACACTCTGGAGGTATATCAATTATATTGCACACTTTAATAAGAGATAGCACACTCTGGAGGTATGTCAATTCTATTGCACACTTTAATAAGAGATAGCACACTCTGGAGGTATATCAATTATATTGCACACTTTAATAAGAGATAGCACACTCTGGAGGTATGTCAATTCTATTGCACACTTTAATAGGAGATAGCACACTCTGGAGGTATTTCAATTCTATTGCACACTTTAATAAGAGATAGCACACTCTGAAGGTATGTCAATTCTATTGCACACTTTAATAAGAGATATCACACTATGGAGGTATGTCAATTCTATTGCACACTTTAATCTGTTTAACACTTTGGATTTACTTCAGTCTCTAGTTTGCAGCGAAAAGAGTATTTTTGGTATAAAACAGGTTCCAGTGAAGTTTGACATTTTTCCAGTTTGACAAAAGTATTAAACAAACTGTTTTATAGGTGTTTTTACTCATGACATATTTATTCATTGCATCTTCTTACATTAATTCAGGCACATGTATTTCAGAGGGAAACAAGTTGTCTGAATTCAGACAGAAACATTAATTAGCTAAACATATAGTGTATTTTATACTTGAATATTCTGTGTCTGAATTCAGGCAGCGGCTTTTCCATATTAGAAAACAGAAGCTGATTTCAACTGTCTGAATTCAGACACAATTTGATAATAGTAAGATGAATTTGTTTATCTTATGTGTTGTGTCTGAATTCAGACAGTGGAAATCAGTATCAATTTTCTCAGATTGAAATCTTGTCTGAATTCAGACACATAAACAAATTCATCTCACTATAATGAGACTGTGTCTGAATTCAGACATAGGCTTTTCCATGTTAGAAAACTGATTCAACTGTCTGAATTCAGACATGGACTGATCATAGTGAGGTGAACCCTAATTAAGTTATGCAATGTTGCATATGACCACATTATCCATACTTTTCTGACAGAAATGGATGTAATATACTCTAATTCACATCAAAGTAATTAGAAAATAACAATTTCTTTTTATATATGGTTCTCAGTGACAGTTCTCATGGTTTAATCTACTGTACATCATTACAAAATGTGTATGTTCAACCTTAAGTTCATCAAATTGTATGTCTGACTACTTTAATAATATATTTCAGCACATATTTTTGAGTCCACTCAGTACATACAGAAAAAGTTGTTAAGTTATTCCATTCCATTTCATTTGATTTTTCATTTATTTGATCCTTTTAACTTAGAGATGTTAACGTACATTCTGCATCACATGATTGAAGCTGATTTAAAATTGATGAACTATTTACAATCAAATTCTTTTGTTAATAACTATTATGATACTAGTATAGTAACTATATAGTAAATATAAAAGGTATAATATACAACGTACAACCCAAGGGAAAAGTGAACCATGTCACTTTCACTTCATTTGATAGATATTTGACAATTTGTAGCTGTCAAAATACTAGATTAATAGTATTTATCTGTGTGTCTCGAATTGTGGCGGGGGTGTCAATGTTTTTTTAATTTTGTTGTAAGTTGATCTTATTTCTGATTTGTTGTGGGATTCAATTAATTGGACTGTGTTAAAGCGAATGCTTAACTTCAATTTTAAGTTCCCTGTCAATAGTCATGGTTCAGTAGATGCCATTGGATATAAAGTTTGCCGTGTCCAATTGATATCCCGTTAAAAGTAAATTTTAATGTCCAATTTTCACAACCAAACCAATCTTCACTGCTTCACCAGGACTCATTCTATATCCTACTATGTATTCCACCTCAAACTTCTGTCTTATTTGGCGGGGTCTCTGGTTTCCCCCTGATTTAATGGACATTTGCTGGTTACAACCTGAAATAATATAGATTAAACAGTTTTATCTATGTTATCATGAAGACTCAACTTGACGGATGGACAGACAAAAGCAGACAGACACTCCTAATAATAAAGAAAAATAACAAAATAAGCGGGAAAATACCACACTTCAAATTTAATATGGAGTGTAATGGAATATAATAATTTGAGTGGAAAATACTTTTTAGACCATTATTGTGTTTTGATTCAATGTAATGCTCACCTTTTTCTGCAGACCTCGACTTTTTCGCCCTATAATGCTTAATCACTTTCTTTTTTGACTCATGTGTATGTCCTTCTCATATAGCCATGAGAGTTTGACCGGATTTTCTGAAATATTAATTATCAGTCTATCAATGTCAAGTAAGAATAAGTTAATTAATAAAGTAGAATTTAAAACAAACAAAATTTTTTTTAAAATTAAATATACATTTTGATGATGGTGTTACATACTTGCAATGC